CGTTTCCGATTTCCTTCTCTGGTTTCTCGATTGAGCATCCAACAGTAGTTAGCTAACATACTGACATCCCATTTTCTTTGGTAACGTCTCTCGATATCACGGACATCCTGTTGAAATCTTTCACCCTGTTCTTCATTGTAGGCTCCCAAGTTTTCAGGAAAATAGTCAATATGGGAGTGTAAGAAATGAACTTTTAAGCTCATCTTGCATCCTTGAGTTTCATACGCTGCTGCCAGCATGCATCGTACAATGGTTTTGTAGTCAGAGTCCTTAGTATTCCCCAAAAACTTATGCACTACATTCTTGAAAGAGTCCCATGCTTCTTTCTCCTTTTCTCTCATTGTTTCCAAAAATGGCTTTGTCTTGATTTCCAAGTTTCAATTTGAAATATGCAAATTAAACTTTCTTCACAAACTCACTTATGTTTCTTTGTTGACTTTTCACTGTGTATTTACCACAAACATAACAGAAGCTGTCGGGAGAAATTACACAACCTCTGCCAGCTATATTCCAGAAATAAAAATACAAGCACAGTAGCGTTCAAATGCTGGATATAAACTTGAGTGTAGCATTAGATGGCCAGCAAGATACTGAACTTATTTAGCTTGTTGAAACATGATCTAATCCAACAGCAGGTTGTTTATATTAATTCCTAGTATTCTAGATAACATGTCGAAACATGCTCAACCTCACCAATAATATTACTCATTATCAACTTTTAACCCGTTTCTATACGATCATGCGACCTACCTCCTAATGCTAAAACTACTTAACCCACCTCCCCCTACCACTACTCTCTTCAACCATTAACATTTTTATTTATTTATTACCAAGTCCAGCTATAATTGATGGAATTAATGTGAGAAGTCTTCGTTTTAAGACCATTTTTTTAAATAACTTAAAATTTAGTATTTTTTTTTAACTAGGAATTTTACACTAAATACAAACAAAAACTTGAGTGTAACAAAAAAAATTAATGAGATGGAATTTTTTTGGTATTTTTTTCGTTTTTACCAAGTTGAAATCTGTAAGAAAATGTATAAGATCATTTGGAAAGACAACCAACGGATTAATGGTTTCCTAACTGCAATCAACAACAATGACCATGGTTTGAAACTAAAATTGGAACAAAAAAGCCAAGAAAACCTCCATTTTTTGGACATTAACATGGAGTTTAAACTAGGAAGTATATGAACGGCAGTATATTTGAAACCTTTACATGCTCCGTTATACATACCTTCATGGTCGAAGGACCCGTATAGATATAAACTGTCTGCATTTAAGGCACTTATCAAGAGAGCCTTCTTGTACTGCACCAATGTGCAAGACCGTGACAAGGAAATGGATAGAATACAAAAGGTAGCAAGGGGTTTAGGATATAAAACGTCCGCAATCAGAGGCCTTATCAGAAGTTATGGGAAACAAAAAATTACAACTACAACACATAACAACACAACTGCATTCAACAAGTTCACATACAATGAACAAACAAGAAAAGTAATGGATGAGCTAGGAAAATACAAAAACACAAAGATAATTTACAAACGAGCACCCAACATATATAGATTATTAAGGAACGATAAGGACAAAATAAGAATGGAAGAGCAAGCGGGGGTGTACACTATCCCATATGAAAACCAACAAATAGGAGTCGATAAAGAATATGTAGGGGTGACCAGAAGAAACCTTGCAGTGCATGTAAAAAGAGCACAAATACAGTGTTAATAAAAGACTTAATAGCACGATATTGGCAAGCATGGCTCAGGCGGACGGAACAATAGTTAGTAGGATGAAGCAAAGATCATAAGAACGGTGCACTCACCGTCTATAGCAATGGAAATGGAAAAAATAGAGATATACAAAAGTAAAATGAGGGACCGATGTTTAAATGAAAAGGATGCAAATACATTACCAACAGCATGGAAATACAAAATAGAAAAATGTATGAGTTTCAATAATCCATAAAATAGGAACTGGAGATTATAAGAAGTTATTATATTATGATTTAGACGCATGTAAAAATATGTTGTTTAATTTTTGTAGCACGTATAGGGACATATTTTATTTTATTCATTTATTTTATTTATTTATGTAATATACAAAAAGTTGTTAACTTATTTCAAAAATTCAAATCAAAATAAAATTTGAACGAATGGTTCCATTTTGGAACGATAAAGGAAAACCTGAGGATGACCTAACCAAATAGGCTGAAAACGTTTGAATAAAGAGAAAAAAACTCAGCAAGTAGAATTCAGGTGTGTTCATATATTATAGAAAATTTTTGAATTGAAATAACATGACTCTTGGCCCTAAGCAGACATTTGTATATAGTAAATTGGGACCTCCTGCCTCTAAATTTTCCATATCTAGTCTTAACTTTCATCTATCTAACACTTTTCTCAAGATTAAGGAAGGACAGACAGACGAATTGGGAATTTATAGGTCTACAATTTTTTCAAATTGCAACCCAACAAAAACAGTGTTCTTTGTTCTATTATAATAGGGGATGATCATATGAACAATACCTCTCCTTTGTAAGGAGAAATAGAGGTGAAAAAATTGAGTACTAACTATAAAATTTGATTCAGCTAATTTACATTTAAGAATAAAGTTGTTATTTTAGGTATGAAATGTCCTTAAACCTTTTTGTTTTTGTTTCATGTCTTTGGAAGCATTAATGGGCCTAGCNCATTGCAATGCACTTAAGATTAGTAGTGTCTTTTCCCTGTACATCATACTTTTCCTGTTAATAATTAACTCATGCCATTCATGTATCTAACTCTGTTGTTCAGGAGAAAATTTTTGAGGTAAAGACATACTTGGAAAACCTACGGCATTTGGCAAACCTAGTTTGTTTGCAGTCCTTTTTTAAATTCAATGGAATAGTATACAAACAAAAGAAAGGGGTCCCAATGGGAAGTCCTATATAAGGACTCCTATGTGAACTAGTAGTAAGAAAATTGGAAAAGAACGTCCTCAAAGATTTTTCTGAAAGCATCATATTATACAAACGTTACATGGATGATGTAACGTTTGTATAATATGATGCTATAATTGATGGAATTAATGTGAGAAGTCTTCGTTTTAAGACCATTTTTTTAAATAAAAAAAAATACTAAATTTTAAGTTAACTAGGAATTTTACACTAAATACAAACAAAAACTTGAGTGTAACAAAAAAAAATTAATGAGATGGAATTTTTTTGGTATTTTTTTCGTTTTTACCAAGTTGAAATCTGTAAGAAAATGTATAAGATCATTTGGAAAGACAACCAACGGATTAATGGTTTCCTAACTGCAATCAACAACAATGACCATGGTTTGAAACTAAAATTGGAACAAAAAAGCCAAGAAAACCTCCATTTTTTGGACATTAACATGGAGTTTAAACTAGGAAGTATATGAACGGCAGTATATTTGAAACCTTTACATGCTCCGTTATACATACCTTCATGGTCGAAGGACCCGTATAGATATAAACTGTCTGCATTTAAGGCACTTATCAAGAGAGCCTTCTTGTACTGCACCAATGTGCAAGACCGTGACAAGGAAATGGATAGAATACAAAAGGTAGCAAGGGGTTTAGGATATAAAACGTCCGCAATCAGAGGCCTTATCAGAAGTTATGGGAAACAAAAAATTACAACTACAACACATAACAACACAACTGCATTCAACAAGTTCACATACAATGAACAAACAAGAAAAGTAATGGATGAGCTAGGAAAATACAAAAACACAAAGATAATTTACAAACGAGCACCCAACATATATAGATTATTAAGGAACGATAAGGACAAAATAAGAATGGAAGAGCAAGCGGGGGTGTACACTATCCCATATGAAAACCAACAAATAGGAGTCGATAAAGAATATGTAGGGGTGACCAGAAGAAACCTTGCAGTGCATGTAAAAAGAGCACAAATACAGTGTTAATAAAAGACTTAATAGCACGATATTGGCAAGCATGGCTCAGGCGGACGGAACAATAGTTAGTAGGATGAAGCAAAGATCATAAGAACGGTGCACTCACCGTCTATAGCAATGGAAATGGAAAAAATAGAGATATACAAAAGTAAAATGAGGGACCGATGTTTAAATGAAAAGGATGCAAATACATTACCAACAGCATGGAAATACAAAATAGAAAAATGTATGAGTTTCAATAATCCATAAAATAGGAACTGGAGATTATAAGAAGTTATTATATTATGATTTAGACGCATGTAAAAATATGTTGTTTAATTTTTGTAGCACGTATAGGGACATATTTTATTTTATTCATTTATTTTATTTATTTATGTAATATACAAAAAGTTGTTAACTTATTTCAAAAATTCAAATCAAAATAAAATTGAACGAATGGTTCCATTTTGGAACGATAAAGGAAAACCTGAGGATGACCTATCCAAATAGGCTGAAAACGTTTGAATAAAGAGAAAAAAACTCAGCAAGTAGAATTCAGGTGTGTTCATATATTATAGAAAATTTTTGAATTGAAATAACATGACTCTTGGCCCTAAGCAGACATTTGTATATAGTAAATTGGGACCTCCTGCCTCTAAATTTTCCATATCTAGTCTTAACTTTCATCTATCTAACACTTTTCTCAAGATTAAGGAAGGACAGACAGACGAATTGGGAATTTATAGGTCTACAATTTTTTCAAATTGCAACCCAACAAAAACAGTGTTCTTTGTTCTATTATAATAGGGGATGATCATATGAACAATACCTCTCCTTTGTAAGGAGAAATAGAGGTGAAAAAATTGAGTACTAACTATAAAATTTGATTCAGCTAATTTACATTTAAGAATAAAGTTGTTATTTTAGTTATGAAATGTCCTTAAACCTTTTTGTTTTTGTTTCATGTCTTTGGAAGCATTAATGGGCCTAGCAACTTTGCATGTTAAAAATAATTACCATTATTAATATTCTTCTATATTAGTAATGAATCTTTTTATTCTTCATTTTATTGAAAATTTTAAAATTGTATTTTAGGAAGTCCAGTAGCTGCTGTATGTGTGGATCCTTCGGGTCGACTTCTAGTTTCTGGCCACGAGGATGCTGCGTGTCTATTATATGATATTAGGGGTGGTCGAGTGATCCAGTGTTTCAGGCCCCATACTTCCGACGTACGATCTATAAGATTCTCACCCAAAGCCTATTACCTCCTTACTGCATCATATGATCATAAGATTGTATTAACTGATTTGCAAGGTAACTTTGCTACTTGTACCTCTCATATTCTACAAGTTAACATGAATATGAATGATAAAATATATGTTAAATCACAAGTGAAAGCAATTTTTTACTGTTCTTTTAGGCGATCTAACTCAACCATTACCAAGCATTGTCGTAGCAGATCATACAGATAAAGTTATCCAAGCCCGATGGCATCCTCAAGAATTTTCTTTTCTCTCCACTAGTGCAGACAAAACTGCTGTCTTATGGGCACTTCCTAATTAAAGATATTTTCATTTTTTACATTTATATATTTATCTTTTCATTGTTTACAAATTTTATTTTTTTTACCTATTTAAAAGTTCAGAGTCATATATTATAAAAAAGGAAAAAAAAAGAATTAAATTGATCAAACAGCATTTTCAGTATATTCTGCAATATATTTTTAATGCAATAATTTTCTATATAATTAAATGGAAAGTTCTGAATGGTCACAAAATGTTTTATTTATCAAAATGCTTGATCTGATTTTTTGTATATGAGTCATAATGTTAAAAATATAGCAAGTGTTTTTAGTGTGTTTATGATATTGAAATTATTTTTCCTATTTTAATTACTTCTATAAAAAGTATAAAAAAAGAACTTTTATTGTTATATGTAATTAAATATAAAGAAATCTAAAATATAATAAGCTTAAATTTCCAGACATGTATAATTTAGTTCTGTGTGTAACACATTTCTCAGCGTATAGTTTAGAAAAACAGTCATTTTAATTAATTTATTACATTGTATTGTAGCATAATTGCCATTTTGTTCGATGAATTTGTGCCATAAAATTCTATTTTTTCTTGTTTTGTTTTGTTTTTTATCATTGGTGTATACATTTAAAATATATAAATATATTTTAAGTGTTATTTATATAATGAATTTTTGAAAATTTGTGGTTGGAAATAGTTATAGACAAAGTGATAATGTATATAGAATAGAATAGAGAGAAGGTTCTGCATGATAATAGATTTTTTTCTTACAAACACAGTATATAGTACAGCATTATCATAGTTTGTTAATAGAAAAGAATAAATATACATTTTTATGAATAAAATGTTAAATATTAAAAAAACCAATTTGCAATTAAATAGAATTTTTTCTTAAAAAAAAATAAAGTTCAAATTTCTTCCAGAAACAAATGGTGCAAACAGTACAGAAAAATTGCAAACAGTTTCATTTTTTCTGTATTAATAAATATAATAAATGCATTTTCAAACATAATTTTTGATACTTAAAATATTTATTATATTTTATATAATGTACACGTTTCATCAAGCTGTGGCTCTTACAAATTGTATATACTGTATTTGTCAGGAAAAAATTTCACGTAACAGTGACAAAAAAGAAACAAATGTATATTTCTCTTTTGCATCGATTTCAAAAGAAAAATTATATATATATATAACTTATATATTAAAAAACCAATGTAAGATTTATATAATGCTGACAACCGAGGGAGCAGTTAACAATTTGCTTGTGAACTACAGCATTTTTTTTTTAAATCTGTAGCATTTATTACGTGCATGTTTTATTACTGTACATTAATGTGCATTTATTTGCAGCTTAAATCTTGTAATAAATTGTAAAGTAATAAATTTGTTAATAGAATTCCTATATAAGAATTCTTCCTAGTTTTTATTGTTTGATATTTTATTAAGAAAACTACATATATATATTTATTGAATATATATATATTTTTTGTTAATATTTTGACTGCATTGTAAAATAATTATTTGAAATATCTTTGTTTTTCTACTAACAAATATTGAATAAAATGTTATTTAAGAGTAATCTTATTAAGAGATAATAAGTATGTTCTAATTAATTTATGATAAAAGTTACTCTTCATTCAATAGCTCTTCTGTTTCGTTATTTTAGAGCTGATTAGTTTACATTCTTTCTAGTGTATAACAAACTACACAAGCAAATATTCTTCTTTTCTAAATTCCATTATCTTGCTCTCATATCTCATGTTTGCCCATTAAACATTTTTTTGTTTGTTTTTTCTTTTCATTATAATGTAGAAAATGAAATTCTTATAGTTAAATTTTTTTATTTATTTAATTTAGAAAAATTTAAGTAAGATTTAATTTTCTTTACAGTATTTTAATAAAACTAATGAAAAACTTATTTTATGATAAAATAATTTTTATTTATTGAATAATTCATATTTTTTATTACCTATTCAATTTTTTTTCATTAAATCTGCAGTTCATCAAAGTGAATTGATAATATTATTAAGATTAATAGAAATGTCTATTCTACTTTACAAAAGTAAATTTGATTTAAAAGTAAAAAGTAATTATGATTTAAATTTGAATTATTCTAAAAGTTTTATCAGAGGAATGTATATTTCTTGATATTTTTATTTTATAATTTCTTTCTGTGATTTTTAAATTTAAAAAATTAACTGAAAAATATAAATTTTCTGTATAAATATAAAATAGAATATCTATCTTCACAGTCTACTCTCTATACACTCCTAAATCCTTTGATCAATCTTGACCAAATGTTTTAGCCCACCAGTGGCCAAGTGGTTCTGTTCCTGAACACTAGGATGTATGAACATGGTTGTGGGTTCATGCCTTGCCAGGATGGTTGATCATGTGGAGTTTTCCAGGTTTTCTCCCTTGTCTGTAATGCCTGATAGGGGTGGGTCAGTTACCCTTAAAAAGACCTCCCGGAAGGCATCTCCCCGTAGGCAGATTGCCCAAGTATTGCATTGCCATAACTTAACAAACAAACCAAATGTTTTAGAGTTAGTCTCATGGACCCTGTAGAAAATATAGAATACCACAAAATCTGGAAATCCACTAATCCACTAGTGGATTTCCAGATTTTGACCTATTTGGACCAAATTTTTTAGTTACACTCTAGGATTCTACATAAAATATAGGCTACCATGAAACCTGGACTCCCCATGATTTCATCCCTTTGTTACTTTGTAATAATTTAAGTTTGATGCATTATTATAAATTTATAAGTAAGCATTCTATAATAATTAATGAAGGTGTTACACAGTCTTTAAATCAAATTTATAGTGATGATTTTAAAAAGTTTAGGGTCTTTTGGATTTGAAAGCTGTACTGAAATAATACTATTAATTTGAATTAGCCTAAAATAACCAAGATTTTAATCCTTGTTCTTATTACTTTTTACTAAGCAATACAGACATAGCTACTAGTTTTATATAAAATAAACTCAAGGCATATAACAGATCATCTGGTTCTTTTATGCCTTTTTCCTGCACTTCAGTAATAATTTTTAAATTTTGAATATTAAATTTTTTTATATTACATATAAACAAAAAATCAATATTAGCATTGAGAAACTAAATTTAAAATATTGTTCTAGCTCAATATGGATAAATTAGTTTATTAGTGCAGCCATTCTCAACATAAGGTGAGGGGATCATCTGGACATCATGAAAGGCTGAAGAGGGCCTTGAGTTGAAATAAATGAAAAGGAGAGCTGTGGATTATTGAAAGAGGATGCATACAATTCAGGTTTTAGATAAAATTGTGACAACAAAATCTACTGGTATTAGCCCATGAATTTGTGTCACAAGTTTACATGTTGTATTTTATTATTGATGTATAAAATTAATATCAGAAAAACCTTAAATCCAGTAAAAACAGTACATTTATTAACAGAATGAACGTTTTCAATTACGTGCAATGGTCATCTTTAGGTTCTAGAATAGAATTAATGAATAGAATCGGAAGCACATTTGAAATTAAAAGCATTTAAAACTTATAAATTAACATGAGTCAAAAGAAGCATAAATATATTAAAGAAACATAGAAAATATGAATAAATATTAAATACAAAATAATTAAATATACAAATTTTAAACTTAGGTTTAAAAATTATTATATATGTTTCCTTATGTGATACAGAAAATATACACAGATTTGTATTACAAAAATGGAAATTATTTAATAAACTTTAAAATAAAATTATAAAATATATTTAACAAAATTTGGAAGTGAAATGATTAAATTGTCTTTTCTAATTAATTTACACTTGTACTATACAACTGATAGACTTCAGGGAATATCTAGATTGATGATCAAGTTGCTTGCTAGAGAAAGAGACAGTATCTAACTTAATGATTATACTATCATGACAGATGCAGTCAGCAATTTAATTACACTGAATGCTTTTAAATATCAAATAAATTATGTAGTAATTACTACTATCCATTTTCTACTAATGCCACTGTTTTAAAATTAGCTTAGAGCTAAATAAATATTAGCACAAAAATAATTAAAAAGGTATAAAAAAATTAATTTATAAACTTATTCAAGATATTACGAAGTTTTTTGCAAGAAGGAATGTCGTTAATACAGTTTTTTCCTTGCAAACTTGCTCCTGATAGCGATATCATTCTTATCTGTTTGCTAACTTCTCTGCAATTTCTGCCTCGAAATTACATGGTGAGCGACTCGAGATATTTAAAAGGGAAAAAATTGCAGCTTTTTTAACGTTTCTTTCGGTGTTTTCGTGTAAAGAAACCAAAACTACGCTCGATAATGCGCTAGACTCACTATCTAAACGGAGAAAAAGAAAAGGTATAAGACCTGAGCAGATTGTAAAATTTCCACTGTTATAAACTTCACTTCTTTGTGACAATTTGAAAAATGGTATAATTTTAAATAAATAGAGAGCAAGAACAATTGGTTAACGTTTTCTGTGTGGAGTAAATCACTATCCAGAAAGAACACTGCTGCCTTTGATTGATTGAACAGTAACTGTAATCTACGATATTGCGGTTAGCCTGTAACACAACAGTTTGAGTGATTCAAGAAGAAACCATTCATCCATTTTTTTTTAACACCGAAAAAAAAAATAATAATAATAATCTTGTGACCTCCTCATAAATTACATCAAGTCTTTGACATGAATAATGTTAACATCTTCACGTTTGTCTGTCAAAGACGAGTGGCTGTTTACTCACCTTTTTTACGATATTTTTCCTGTTTCTGAAAATGGAATTTGTAAAAAAGGTGCGACTTTATTTCTGGTAATCGGTAGTAAAGTGCTGTCATTGGGGTTCGAGTGATGAATGCGTGACATTAATTTCTGATTATTACTGCCACTGGATGTTATTGAATGAGGAACAAGATGTTGAACGATCCGAATCATATTAAATTGGAGAGGTTAAATGCTGGAAGTAATATGTAAGCGTCAATCGCAGTCGTGTGAAATATTTTAATAAAAAAAAAAAATTGAAGCAAATCGATTTGCTGAGCGGTTATTAAACGTATTAATGTTGAATTTATATAATTAAATATGTCAACATTTATACATTCGCGTGTATGAAATTACAAATATTGATTTTCTCTACGCACGATTTTTCTCTTCGTAAATTCTCTTACTTTACTAGCTGTTATGTATAACACAGGAAAAATGGCGATCGGTCAAAAAATTACCCCAAAGATTTTTACAGTTTTGGACTCGAGAGACCTTGAAGCGTCGAGAAATGCGAAAAAGATGGAGGAGTTTTTATGTATGGATGGATGTTAATGCATAGGAATATGATTTTTTCACCCCTCTTTGAAGCTTAATAACTCCTGTGCCTTTTGTCGAAAATGTTTGAAATTTTTCATGGAGGTTTGTGTGTTGGGGGAAATGTTTCTATAAATTTGCAGGAAAATCGGACCATTAGTTCGGGAGATATGGCCCACCCCCTTAATATCTCCCGAACCAATCTGAAGACATAAAGGTAATGGTAGCAATTAAGAAGGATGAAAACAAATAAATAATACCGGGAAAATCCAGCAATAATGTTGCCAGCTTTTTAAAAATGTTTTGCGAATATTTTATATTGTTTTCTAAAGCTTAACGCATTATTCTATTGAATAGAATTAACATATTATGTGATTTATGCTACATATAATCTCATTGTGCATGCAAGTGGATAGCGAATCGCTTCTATCTAATTCGAATAAGTGGTAAGAAAATTGTATCAATAACAACGTTACATTGAATAGTAATCGAATAACATTACGAAACTAGTGATATAATCTACTGTTGGTACAATATTCCTATCGCTTGTTAAAATCTCTAGCGAATCTAACAACCAGTTTGTGTTCAGTAGGAACATGTTAACGCGATATCGTTCAACCGACACTAAATATACATTTGTACAGTACGTAGCTTAAATATGGTAACAGGTTACTGTCTAGCATCTTTAATCACATTGAAGAATGCTACATTACATTAATTAATGTGGCATTTCATTGTAGAAATTCGAATTAATGAAGCGTGTAAAACGCAACTAATGATTTGGATGGGATAAGATAACGCAACACATGTGCCATCTGCCATGGGGAGGACTTTCTATGGTAAACGGGCCTCTATTTAGGCGAAGAAAACCGGGAAAACTCCACGCAGCCAGCCCGTTGGTGAGAGTCGAACCCGCGACCAACTACCAGTGTTAAGTGATCTTATCGACTTGTCTCTGTTGGGCAGTAAAACTCAACTACCTTTGTTCTGTGACTAATAGAAAGAGGAAAACATGCGTAAATATAGATTGAAACACGTTTTTAATGACACTTTCTCCGACATACAAAGTCATACTATTTTAAAAATTAACACTTCAATATATCAATAATAACATGAAGAAAAAAATAAAGAAGAAAAAACCGTCCACAAAAAGACGTAGCATAAATCGATATTAAAAATTGTGCACTTCACAAAAAACAGTTTCTCAAAAGTTCACTTTTCGGTTTGTATTTTTTTTTCTTTTCTTTTATATAAAGGAAGGAATATACACGTCAAGGCAATATGCCTCCAATTACAGTCGTGGATGGTATAAGGAAGCTATTCAAACATTTAATTAATACAGTTAAAGATGTGACGATATCGACCAATAATTTAATGATATGCAGTTGATGAATTCTTTTTTTTTTTGGAAAAAGATTTACGTAGCTGTTAGCAGCTGACGGAAGCCATTTTTTTTAATTATTTCGAATCATTTATTATTAATAATTATATAAAGTTGAGCCGCTTTGTTTAGTATCTTCGATTTTATATGCTCCAACCTGCAGCTTGTTGATTTAATATGGCTAACCGTCATCCACCTCAGCTGCGTCGAACCGTCTTAATGATTACAATACCTAAAACATAATTTTACACAACGTCAACTTTTTTGGGGGATTTTACACCATTTAAACAGTTCCGCACAACACTAACAAGCAATAGAAACATCAAAACTGTTGTTTTTTTGCCAGGAAAAAGGTTGTTAATGTAGTGAATTAACAAATGGTCTTGTTTACTCTTCGCCATCTTTGCTGGGCTTCTCGTCTTCGGTCGTTTTATCAGCCTCTTTGATCTCTTCTGGTTGTTCTTTATCCACTTTGTCTTCTGCTTCTTTCTTGGTTTCTTCTTCGGCTGGTTTCTCTTCCTTCTCCTCTTCCTTTGGTGCCTCTTCTATTTTCTTAGGTAAATGGGTGTTTAGTTCTAAAGTCTTGCACATTTCATCCCAGTCAGGCCAGTACCGTTCTTTCATACAGTGCACGAACTTCAATAAGTTCGGGCAATCTGTCTCCATGTATTCTTTGATGCCACCAAAGGGGACGTAAATAAATTGGCACAAATGAGCGAAAGCCACGCAATCCAGCTGTAAAAAATAATAATAATAACGATAGAAAATCTTTATTATATGAAGTATAATAGTAATCTTTACAGTTCATTATACAATAATCAAACAAGAGTTTATGACTGAGCACATCATTGTCACAACGTGTGAGCCTGATATACAGTGGAGTCAAACAATGCGAGGCTAAGGGAGCTCGAACTGTACCGTTATGAAAACCAGTGGAGCGTTATCCTGTGGGCGAAAAGGGCAATTGACTGGGGTTCCCTTCAACAGGGACCCCAAAACATTCCTCATAAGAAAGATGTATGAAGTCAACAGTGTACATGGACCCCTAATTCCAATTCGCCTGAGCCCCTTGAGGCTATAACGCGCCACTGATGAAAACGTATAAAAATTTGAATTCAGATCCCTTAGTAGATAGAAGGTTATTTTATAGAAAGGTGCACGAAACTTATAAACACAACCACTTTAATGCTTTCAGGTGTCAGGAATCTCAAGATTTATAATTGTAAGATAATAATATGAAATTAGATGATGATTTTTTTAGTTCTTGGATCTCTAAAGATAAGTCCAATGACGTGTAATAGCTTGAAGGAGCCCAAGCTAATTTGAATCGGGGCCCATGTACAGTATTGACTTCAAATATTTTTTTTTGAAGGAGTTTTTGAGAGGAATATCTTCTTATAAAAGATTGATTTGGAGCCTCTGTTGATGAGGACCCCAGGCAATTGCCTCTTTTGCCCATAGGATAAAATGCCACTGGATAAGTCTGAGACAATTGTATTTTTGTAAGAAGCTTCTATTAAAGTATTGTGTAATTGACTGTTAAGGAAAATCCAATACAAAAAACATTTCATTATAAAATAAAAAGAAATAGTTACCAAATGGGGTTCGTCGCCGAAAAAATATGTTTTATCATCCAGTAGTTCACTCAGTGCTTTCAAATCAGATTTTCCAAATTCATAAATCTCCTCAGGGGTATGACGGCCCAAACCGTGTCCAACAGTTCGTTTAATGTTCTGTAAATGATAATAAACTTTCAATCTGTCTCTCTAAACTAACCACAAAATTGCAATTTTGTAAAATATATTGATACTTACGCTTTTAAAACCGAGTTTGAAGAAAAATTGTAAAAGACCTTTAGGAAGCTTTGAGTTGAGAGTTCGTTTGATATCCAATTGAGCAGCCTTTAGGAAGTCACCTGGATGACTATATCTCCACCAACGCATCACCCTATTAATTATAATAATAAATTTTATTAATAATACATCAAAATTTATATATTTTGCCGTATTGAATTCCCATCTTTATGTAAACAAGTAAACAAACTACCAGAGATGTCAACTTAGGGATTTCCTCCTAAATTTAGGGGAATCAGAAGGATGGAGGAAAATGTGATATTGCCCATATTCGTTAGCGGAGTTTCAGTGACGAATAAAAACTTCTAAAAGTCACATGACTCAAGACTATTCACGCGAAAATCTTGCGCGAAATCCGGAACAAGTCTCTTTATCACGTGACACTTTTGATCAACCGTGCCCACACTTCTTGCACTCTAAATTGAAAATTTGTATTTCTCTGGATTGCCAAAAGACTAATTTTTTTTACATGGGGCAAAGCTATTTAGGGGGAATTTCAGGTTTGTTTAGGGAATTTTCACGACGGAGGTTATTAACACTGCAAACTACATAACTGTAGCTTAATAACGGTCGCCTCCAAACAACAGCCATTTTTTTATGTTTTCGTCAATGCCGTTGTTCACAGGTTTAACTGTACCACAAAAAATGGCTACAAAATCGATATTTTTCAATCTCCGAAATGTAGAATAGTGGCTAATTAATTCACGAAATATGCTGAATATGTCGTTAATTTTAGCTTATCGGCTTAAATTTAATTATCTTTACTTGTTTAACTTCCTCCGGGACATTTTATTAACAGTTTATCGGGCTGAAGTAACGACAGTTATTCTTCTGCAAGCGTAAAAAAATGTAATAAACTTGTAAACGAGAGTAATTTCACCCTCGATTATGAGTTATACATGCCATAATATGTATATATATTCACACTTCTATTCAAATCAGCGATCTGACTGAAGGTATCAGGACATAATTTAGTTTCTGGCTTACAGAAAATGATTTGTTGCTAAATAATAGCAGAAATATGATAAAATTTCTGTTGGAAATGCTATAAGTGGCTTTAAGAGTGCGCTTTCTCTCCCTAAATATGAATTTATATCATTGTAAATGCCAGAAATATTCACTCATAATGCTATTAATTGTACTCATTAATGAGTTCCTCTGTTTGTTTGTCGACACGAATAACAGTACACATCATAAAATTATATTAAATATTTTAATCAGCGAATCAAGCATAAAATGATCATTTAAATTTTAATTTAATTGAGATATTGCGGCTTGAAAGTATTTAAATCATATAAATGTATCGATTAAATAATTTTAAAAGTATTTGACCAATTACAGAGAATGCATTTAAATTTTCGAATTTTATGAATGTTAATTGGTTAATGTATTGGATTCGTTGGCCAATAAAACTGGAAAATTCACATTTTTGAATAGTAGATATTCATTGGTGTTTCGTTTATTAATTCATATTATTGGTGATATTTAGCGTATATTCAAGTATTTTTAATTAAAAATTTTTATTTTTAAATTAATATAATTATTTTTAAGTAATTAAATGTCTTGTACTATACATTACACGGAATTTAAATTAATTTCTAAATAAATAACTCATTATTTAAAGAATATTAACATATTTTATAAATTTTTGAGTTAATTAAACATTTAATCTTTAATATATAAACAACTTTTCTGTTATTTAAAGTGCCAATTTATCATTAAAGTTTTATTTTATAATATTTTTAAAAATAATAATTAATTTTATTTAAGATTTATGGTTTTGAAACGAATTTTTAGAAGTAATAAAATTAAATATTTTCTATTTTTTTAATTATTAATATTAAATGGTTAGTTTAAAAATAGTATTTTATTATTAGTAAGTAGCTTAAAATAGGAATAATCTTTACGCTCTTGTTATGAAACTAGAGTGTATAAAGGCAATGATACTGTGTTATTACTTCTCAAGATATAACTTTGTTTATTACTTTCAACACTTGTTCAGGAAGAGTTTAATATAGGAGAGTGTTTTTATTTATTTATTTATTTCCTCTTAAATTCCCTCCGATTCTTCTAAAAATTATATTAAAATTGTTCAAAATAAAGCAAAAATTGTTCAAAATACAGCAATTTAGTACATTTAAAATATATAGCTTAATTCTTCAAAGATTAAATTTTAAATTGTTAAAATTTAATTTAAAATTAAACCATAATCTACAATTTCAAAACTTTAATTCTATAATCTTATTGGTAAATGAGTTAAAGCATTCGTCAAATTTGAAATTTGAAAATTTTTCAGTTTTATTGGTGAATTAATTAAATAGTTAACTAAAATAATAATTAAATAATTAAACCAATCAGTGTTCATAAAATTTAAAAATTTAAATATCTTCGCTCTAATTGGTTGAGTTGTTTTAAACTATTTATAAATTTTTTTAAAAAATGATTTTTTAAATTTGATTAAATTTAAATAAATAAATTTCTTAATTTAAATATTAAGAAATTTATTTATTTTTTCTTTTATAATGTTATTGGTAAATAAATAATTTAAATTGATCAATAAATTGAGTTAAAATGTATATATATATATTTCTCTCTTTGATTGGTTCATTTTTGAATTCATTTGAAAATTTAACAACCAATCGCCTTTGATAAATTCAAATATTTAAATATTTTTCTCTTAAAATGTATTGGCCAATCAATAAATTTTGAATTAGCTTATATAAGTTTACGAATTGATTTAAATTTCAAAAATACTTAAAGTCGATTGGTTCTCATTTAAATTTATATTAATTCAGCAACCAATCAGATTTAGCAAATTTAAACAAATAAATATTTTTTCATAATTTTTACGGTTAATAAAAGCCAATAAAATTCGATTTAAATTTCAAATTTAGTTTATGGATAAATTTAATGGAATTTAAAATGAGTAATGGACTTTAAATATTAAATAATTTAATTTAAACTCGGTATGGCTTATAGAGAGGCCCGTCAAGACCGTCGAGCACGTTTGAGGCCCGGGAGTAGAGTGGGCCCCTTTTAGGTCCCCCTTTTTGAATCAACAAAATAAGTAGAATGTTTCTTTATTAATAAAGCACAGTCTTATTTTCCGTTAGTAAAAATAGCATTGTTTTATACAGATGGTAACTAATAAGGGCCCCTAGATTATCCACGGGTCAGGGGAAAATCCCCAGCTCCCCCTCTCGAAGGCCTCCGAATTGGAGTGGCTTTTATTTTCTGTTAGTAAAAATAAAATAGGGGTGGGTGGGAACTAATAAAGACTCCCCTCGACGGCCCCCGAATTGGAGTGAAGCGGGCCAATTTACAGAGATTACTTTTTGTTATTGCTGCTACACGGGTAAAGTACAAGATACGGATGTAAAAAAAGCGAATAAAGTGAATAGAAAAATGGTCATAACTTATGAGATAATGTATTTTTATTCACGGAGATAACTCCTACTTGCTAATATTCACTAATCTCTTATCGTAAACAAGACTTAATATACCTCATCTGGGGACAATGATAGCTTTTCAAGCTCTCTTATCGAGTGTAAACGGTCCCTCCGACTTATCAAACCCACCTTCAATGCAAAAGTGGTCCGAGTCGTTTCGATCGATGCAATTTTTCTTCGACTATCGTTTCTGAATATCATTAACGTAATCCGTAGTAAACTTAACTAATCAGTATAAAAAAATCGTCTATGATTATCGGTAACTTTAACTTTAATAAATAAATAAATAAATAATAAAATGATCAGACAAACAAACGTTCTTACCAGCTCGTATGATTGTTGAGCATGGAAATAAAGGCATGACTGATGTTTCTCTGATCAGCACTCAGGTCAGCATCCAAATCTTTATCAAAGTGTTTGCTCAGTTCTTTGATGATAATATCTGAATCTGCAATTTCGACTCCATTCAATTCGACGAAAGGAAGACGTCCCTTTTTCGATTTATATTTCATTTTATGGTCGATATTCTGTTAAAGAATCGATTATTTTCGATTAATTAATCCCGTAAAAAATCGCGAATGCAGAAATCTCGCGAGGAAAAAAAAAGATGTTAAACAAAATCGATTCGAGATGGATTAATTAGATTCATATTTAAAAAAGAATATATCGATTATCACGAGCTGAATGATATTATCGTGGCTGTTAGTAGTTATGCAGCACTGCGATAAAACCGATGATAAATCAAACGCGTTACAATCCGTTTAGGTTTTCCTACTTGTTAAATAATAACATTTAAACATCGTAAATTGAAAATATCTCATCTTTCTTAACGCCAAAGGGCATCAATTACATTTTATCAGCTCGTAAACTATGCCAGATACCATCTAGGATATTGAGAAGCATAGAAAAGTAGTAGCCTAGTCAATACAGGATGGGTTCTCACCTCGTACTTAATCCCAGCCATTCTCAACCATGTCTCCACCTTAAAACAAAACGGCGACGCAGAAGGCAAAGTTGGACAACGGGTGAACTGATAAAGATACACGACATCTTTCTCATAATCCGGTTTATGAACATTTGTTGCTGGTCTGTCTGTCGTTGCGGGAGCATTGGAAGGATTGGATGTCATGATGGCTAACTGGCTAGGGGACAAACCAAGATGGCGCTATGCAAGACTGGAGAAGGTCGATCGATCGCTTTCCTCGTCCAAGCTACAGCTTGCATATACCAAGGAGAATCGAAATCCTGATGGGTGATGTAAAGATGATGCATCCCTGTAGTGTATATTACAATCGTAATTACTCTTTCTGCCACCGAATAAGCCACGATTTTACTATTTTAACACTCGAAAATGAAGTAGAAAGAGTAAATTTACCTTTTAAAATAAATAATTAAATATTTAGAGTCGAAATTAATTTTTAAACTATTTGTTTCAATAACAAAAAAAGTAAACAAACGTCTCTATTTAAACTATTCAATTTGATTAATATAATAAAGATTATAATTAAATATTATTATTTAGTAAACGAGAGTAATTTCACCCTCNTTTTAATTAATTTAATTATAAATTTACAATAAATATATTTTTAAATAATTGGAAAATTTTAATTTGCAATTTTACATTATGTGTAAACAACTTGGAGGAATAATTTAACATTTGTTTATCGTAATATAAATTAATTTAAATGACATTTTCGGACGTAAAAATTAAAGATATAAAACGAAATTTTATGTCTATAGCCAAAGGGGATTATAAAAAAAATCATATTTGGAAGATGATGTAAAAATCTTCGTGTTAAACTTGCGTAATATATCAATTTTCATAATTTTTTTTAGAAAAAAAAATTGCTTACATCATATCTAAACGGAACTAATACACCTTCCTGAATTTTTATAAAATAAAATTAAAATATTTTTAAGAAACGAAGGGAAAAAAATTGCTATTTTATAACAATATAAAAATCTGTAAAGCGGTCTTCTCCTAAAGCTTACTTATCATGCAGTGAAGCCCGCCTTTCAGAAAAATCGATGTTTTTCGCTGTTTCTGATAGAAAAGACGCGTTTATATTTTACATTATTAAAAAAATAAAAATATGTTTTGATATTATTATATTAATAAATTCATAAAAAATTGAACTGATTAACATACTTTGTTTATTAACAACAATTTTTAACAACACGTAACATATAAAGGCATTACATTATCACTGTATTAAGTCAGAAACGTTCTTTGGTTATTTATTTATATGTTGTTTTATTTTTTCAAATAAACATCTCAGATATTTATTTATTTATTTTTAGTTAATAAATATCTCTTTTTGGTTGCATTGATCTTCGGGTGGTGGAAGAGTATACAGAATTTCTGTTAAAGGAACTCCATTCCAATATCCCTAGAAAGGATAAATGATTAGTTTAATTCGCTTTTAAATAAAAATATATAATAAAGAAAGATTAAACTTACAGGAAATCTATCTCCAGAGGATTGATTGCATTGCATAGATAAAGGTGAATTGTTATAGAGATGATACAAAAAGTTGGAATTGCTTTTGGTCCAATGGATAGATTGATAATTTTCGCTCACATCATTGTCAGGAGACGTAGCTTCGTTATTATACCTAAGGGAAACCAATCTCACAATGAAAAAGCTGAAGTTTTCTTAGAATGTTTGTGTTGAGTACACATCCACCAACTTTATTTAAGAGAATAAAAAATTTTGCTCGATATCTTATAGAAAAATGAATGTTATAATATTTTAAAAAATACTTACTCGTTCATATAACGGAAATAACTGTTTAGTACATCAGTATCTATTGAACTTTTGCATACTTCTAAGTTCGATTTTGGAAAATAATGCATATAAGTCACGCACATCTCATCGCTTATAGCAAATCCACCCTAGACATAAATATATATATTAATTTTTTTAAGCTTGGATTTAATTTAATATCTTATTTTAAAAAATGAAATACATACCAGAGTAATATTATCTCTATCTAATGTTTCGTAAACACATGAATTTATTAATGCATCTCCCTGAAAAAGTTGAATAATTATTTATTTATTACATCGATGCAGTTAAATCGGCTATAAGCAGTAATTTATCATTGATAACGCTTTTAAAAATTTTATCAGAAATGCGGAAGTAATTTACAGATTTTCATATTTTAAAATAAAAGATTTTTCCTTAATACATAAGAAATTCAATGCAATGATATTCTTGAGGCCTCATAAATGTGAGGCCCTACTAGCCATGTCTATGATCCATATTGTTAATTAATATTGAAAAATATACAATATAAATTGTGTCTAATACACTTGAAATTTGTAAAAATTAACACATTTTTACTATATTAAAGGCGAAAATTCTAATGTGTATTTGAGTTTAATTATTTTAATTTTTGAAGGATGTGTGTTTTCGTGTGAGAAATAATTAAATGCAGTAAAATGTTTTAAAATGTCAAAGAATTCGTTGAATTTTAAAAATTTGAAAATTATTCTTCCTGGCCTTAAGAATCCTTCATAAAATTCCCCAGTTCAGAATGTATAAAGTCTACAAATACGTCACAAGTACTGCTTACAAAGTCCATCCTACTTCCGAAACGTATGGACAAGTATCAGGTGATAAAAAATGAGTATGGAACAGTCGATTGAGGTGATGTTCAGCGTGAATCTTGTGGCGGACCTAAGTTATACCATATAACAGGCCCTTCGCTTTCACCAAATAGCCTACATGTTAAAATGTGAGCTAAGCTGCAGCTTGTTCAGCTTATATGCAAACCCTACTGCCACGGATGTTGTGAAGGCTTAACAGGAACCCAAAAATGTCTGGCTTGTAGGTCTATAGTAAGGTTGCAAAAGGCCCAGCAAACTGGAAGTGCTTCATCCTCAGTTAAAACAGGGATTCAAAGTCCAAAAATACTTCAAAATTCTATTTTTATAATTGTTTAAAAGGTTTATTGGTTGTTAACTCAATCTACAAATGCTACATTTTATCATTAATCAGGATAATTTAATGCATTCCATTCTAAAATTCACCCATTTTTTTTCTTGAGAATTTTGAATATTTGATGTTTAAAATTTAATTGGATTCATATAACAGTAGTAAAAATAATTTTATTATTAATTATTTATTTTCTCTTTTCATCCGGACATTATATACATACTTAAGCTTAACATATAAACCAAATCTTACCGGAAATAGCTGAACTCTACGTTTTAAAGTACGAATTTCTTGAAAATGTGTACTATAATGATTATCCCTATTTACTTCAGTTAATTCTACACCTCCTCGAATATGCTTCGTCCATACTTTAATACCAGTTAAGTGAGTATGCAGCTGAGCAGCGAATATCGTTATGCCTTCCGGTGGTAAACCCTTAAAAATTGCTAATTAATCCATCTGAATAATATATTTATGTAATATTCATGTACAGTACTTACGACTCGTGTACATTCGGATACACAATATCCATCTAATTGGAAGGCCTCTTGATGAGGAGGAATGGCCATTTTATTTGTATACTCCAATCCTACTTCGATAACAGCAGCATCGTACTGTCTGAGTTGAGACGTGTAATAAATACGAATTCCGGAGCTGTCCACCCAATCTATAATTTAAAATCGGTGGATAATTTAAAAATTTAAAATATAACTCGTATTAATTAATAATTCATAACCATCTTTCAGTTCAGGGTTGTTATAATGCACTTCTAGCATCAAGTATCTTGAGAAGTTCGCTCCTCCTATTGGTAAACCTGCTTCTTCTGGATAAGCGAATGGCTACACGGGTTAGAAATTCGTTAAAATTCATAAATTAATATGGAATTTATGGTAAATATGACTTACTGTTGCACCCATAGCCCATGCTGCTAGTACTTTTTTGCACGCTTCTAGTACTTTTGGCTTTTTTGAGTCCGAACACGGACCATTCCAGTATGGAAGTTCTTTTTCTGCTTCCACTTCGCAATGGAAAACTTCTATGTGATGTACTAGAGGTTCGTTTCCTTTTTGAATGGTTGCTTCGTACTTAAAATTTATCGAAAAATAATAATTATAGATAGATGCAACACGTTATAACGTACTGTATTTTATGAGATCTACAGGGTGCCATAAGTCTGAAAGTTATGTTGATCTTTGTTTATTCTTTTACACGTAAAGCAGAGCGCTGAGTAAGGAATTCTGAGTAAGGAAGTTATTCTGATGATGATGTCCCGCAGATAGCTTAAAATTGCTACAGACTGCATCCAGAATACCGTGTTTGATTGGTGGAAGTCTGGATACATCCCGTGAAATTCTTTAGCATCACCATCAAAATAACTTGAATTCGTTCCTCCTTACTCAGCGCCATGCTTTACCTGTAAAAGAATAAACAAAGATCTTTCCAGATTATGTGGTACCCTGTATAAAAATATTTAAAAAGATTAAGTTGTTTTAATCTCAATTGAATGAAGTAGAGTGAAAGAAATTTAATTTCTTCGAGTAACCATTGGTGAGACTTTTTAACAATTGTATCTTTTTTGTAGTGCAGAGGAAAATTTATATTATCAGAAAGATGTTTTTTTCGAGTGTTTCCCTCTTAAATTCATTAAATTTAATCAATTAAGAGTAGAGACTAAGTAAAACTAACCTGAACTATATGGTGTTTTTCCTTAAATTCTTCAGGCAACAGATGCAAACTGCACCAGTAAGTGGTATCACCACTAGGAACCTCTAACTAAAAAACACAATAACTTGATTATACCTGTAAGAATTATGATTAAAATACTAATTTATGCATAAATTATCTTCATTTACAGAAAAAATTTCAGCATTTTATCTGAAATTTATTTTTTTCACCAAACCTTTTTATTTGTGATGGGTATAACTTTAGTATCTTCAGGAAATTCTGGTGGTGGATCCATATTTTTCAGCAATTGCACACGCTGGAAGTTATGGTTTTCATTAATCAATCTCAATCCATCCAATCTTCTGATAGGTCCACGCCCAATTACGTAAACAATATGAGTCGTCCCGTCCTAAAATATAAAATAAACATGCCTTTAACACTTTAAATTAAAACATTAATTTAATCCTTAAAATGGACTCACTTCTATAACATAATCCTGAGGATCGCACGTGTCGAACTTCCTATTAAAGATAATCCTTATTTTATGCGGGCTTTTCTTATATTTAATTAAATCGCAGTCGTTGTGATAATCGACAGTAATGTAGCCTCCTTCGTCTGTCCAAACGTCCTAAAAAATAATAATAATAAAATCGATAAATTCTTCACAGAACTTCTAATTGACTCTCTAGAATTATTAGTAGTCATATTGAAGCCACGTGACACGGAAGGAATTCCTTTATTGAGTTTAGTGATAAAGCAGTGGGGGTGATGGTTTGGTATTTAATATAAGCATCCGACGATATTAATATTTCAATCATTCTCTACGTGTTATGTTCCGAAGCTGTCAGCCTAATCCGACATTACTGTTTATGAATGCATTCGGTAATCTTTATACGTGTGTTGACCTCTTTGTAACTTCATAAAATATCCATAGCTAACTCCCTAATCTTAATTAATCCATTAAGTAATAGAGGAGTAAAGATTAATCATTGATAAATGAGATTTTCAGGGAAGAAATTGCGATAAAAATAGTGAAAATGAGTTCTACTACGAATTTTAAGCAAATTAATTATTAAAATCCCTCAAATTCCCTAAATCAAAGACGTTCAGAGCGTGATTTTACAGCTTTACAACGAAAGAACATGCGGATAAACCCATATAAAACGCTATTAATTTTTACAAATTTATATATGATTTTTTAATCGTATGTAAAAATCTTACCTGAAAGTGAGAATCGCCCTGTCTGTTAACCCACCAAACGCATAAATCGGCTCGTGTTATGTTACCTCTGTTGGAAAATCCCATTCCGACCCATTCGTTATCAGATACGTGAGCTATCAATTCGAATGTCACAATTTCTAACTCATAGTCCACAGTCCAGTAGAGGTGCAGTCGATCTTCGGGATCTAGCGGAACATCGAAGTAAAGAGGTCTTTCTGCAGAGCTGATGAGTAGAGTCAGGAGAAAGTGGAAGAGAAGATGAAGAGCCATGGTAATGTCTGGTGTTACGCGATCATCTTCCTTCCTTTTATTATCTTGGATGAAGCTGCTGATTGGCTGCAAGTCGAAGTGTCATTGCTGTGCCTTCCTCGCTGTGGAAATCCATTGGTTAATTGCCATCGTTTCAGCAGATTTTGGGCAATAATTCGATCGGGATGAGATTTTTAAACACATTTTTATAATTCCTCAATTGTCAAGACGGGTTGTAAGCATTTGAATTGTATTTTACCATTGTTTGTCGTTGACATTATTGATGCTGTAATAATTCGAGGAATTAGCAAATTCTCATGTAAATATGTAAAATTGACTACAATTATTATACAGTAAAGTAACAACAGGCTATGCTCTATTATAAATATAAAATCCTACGTTTCTTATAGGAAGAAATGTTTCAGAGAATCCATTAAAGAGCGAGCAAGTGATATAAACATTCGTTTGGCATAAATCCTTAACTAATTATATTATCAGAATTTAATTTGATTTTGAATAATAAAATAGCTGAGTATTCAATGTATAATATTATTTGTTTCTAGAAGAATTGCATGTCCTAAGAATAAAGTTTTATCAGTGGTCAAACCACTGAAACCAGTGAACAACGATAGTTAGGAGTGGGTTCGCGTCTCACCAAAGGCTGGCCGTGTGTTTTCTGGATTTTCTTCGCCTATCTAATGCCTAAATAGGGGCTAATTTCCTACCAGGAAGCACCCCTCTCAGCAGATCAACCATGAATGTTGCGTTTCTATATTCTATCACTTCACTTCGGAGTGAAGGGATAGAATAATGAAACTTTATTGAAGACTTAATAATTAATCATTATTGATTATTTCTGGAAGCAGAAAGCTGGGATTACTGTCATTATATGTGGATTACATGAATTGAGTAACTCCAAATTACTGTTTTCACAAAGAAGTATTTCAAAGAATCACAACTAGTTACAGAATATGAATTATAACTCATCGGTTAGTACGGATTTGTACCATTTGACGAGGCCTAAGGAAGTGTTATAAATAAAAGAAAGTGAAGTTACAATTTCTATTCTATGGCTGATTGCGCTTCCTCATGAAACCAGCATATTCACTCGACATGCATTATCTTCCATATAATGTATATCAGAAATGGCCAACACGTAGACCGCGGTCGACCGGTCGACCGCAAAGGTTTTGAAAGTAGCCCGCGAAACTAAAGTTGAACAATTTGCTTTCACTTAAATTAATGTTTAAAAATCTTAACTCGATAATTTATTCTTACAATAATAGACTGTCTGTGCAACGTACCCATACTGTTTGTATTTATCCCGGTGAACAATGCAAATGAATGTTAACGCATGCGCATATAAAATCCTAAAATTGTTTGCCCGTATTCATAGTCACCCGCAGACTACATTTTACCAAAAAAGTAGCCCCTAAGAGATAAAAGTTTGGCCACACCTGATGTATATGATTAATACTAGAGTATTATAGAGAGAGGGGAGGTGCAAGGAAGATTGTAAATGAAGCAAGTTTCCCAAAGATTGTGTAGGAATACAGGGTCCCTAATCCAAGGAATTTGGGACCCCTAGACAATTTTTTTCGTTCACTTCCTTAATGCTGTAGGGCGTCTAATATGGATTTTTTCCCAGGCTCCGTTACCATCTGAGAGACCCTACGTATCCATATAATGTATTAATTATATGCATTCGAGAATAGCGAAATTCTTCTTTAATTTATGTGTAATCGAATCTGAACTCTACTGATCACAACCTAATGGCATTATTGCGTTGTCACAAAGGTTATAATTTAATGGTGTTTTCGCCTAGTGTAGTGTTTCTCAACAAAGTGATTTTTCTCCCTTGGGGACAAAAAGAGGTCTGCTGGGTGTAAAAATTAATTTTTTAAGATGAGATAAACTACCGTGAATCACATCAAACAGAATTGTAACACTGTCAGATAACATGGAATAACTAAATGCAATACCTGGGCAATTTGCCAAGGGATAGAAACTGACCATATGGATGTACAATTATAGAAAATAATAATAGCATTAAGAAGTTCCAGAAAGATCTGACATTCATAATTAAAATCTTCTTCAATTTTTTGTTTGAAAATATTTATAAATATTAACTCTTTAATAGTCATATGAATCAATAATCCTAATAAATTTTGTGATTATTTGTATCGAAAGCATAATTAAATCTGTTAATTTCTAGTGAAGAGAGCATTCTATTTGCATATAAATAGCGGGAGAAGCTGAGACAACTTGATGGATCTTCAAGTAAACAGAACGGTGGGTATATTCTGGCCTCCACAACTTCCAGTCGATCTTGACACTTTCAAGCCTTAGTGCTGGATGACCTTTCCATAATCCACAATGGATAGAATGGAGAGAGAAGATTCTGGAAAACACGAACATGAGTGGCTTAAGGATAGACAGGAATAGCGGTTATTAAGAAAACCCTTTCAGGTGAATGCTGAAACATCGTCTTTGCCGGCGAAGACGATTACACCACTAACTTCGCAATTGTTCATGCAACCCGCTAGGTCGGGTAAGATTATTTTTTTCAATTCGTTCGCACATTGAAAGTAAGATTCAGCACATTTTCAAAGGAGTCAAACCAATTCAAATGTATAATTTTAAAATTGCATTCGTGTAATGAATATTCAATGGAAATGAAAATAGAGTAGTGAAATATGTAATTGTTCTTCCATCTCCAGCAATCACAATGTTTGAATAAGCCACATTTAAAAATACCAAAATAATTTTTAAAAAATTAAACAAATTAATGAAAAAAAATATTGTTTCTATTATTTTATATTATTGTTTTTCATTTCAAACTTCAGAATAATTTTAAAATGTTCGACATATAATTGTGACCTGACCACCAGAGATCTAACATTAGACTAAAAATTCGAAAATTTATGTTAATTCCGAAATTATAAGCAAAATATTTTTAAAAATAAACAATTACGATATAAAAATAAAATAGAAAATCGATACTAAAATAAATCAATAAGAATTATCATTAAAGCTCATTAATATTTTCCAGCTAAAACTAGATGACGTAAATCAATTAAAATCGATTGCCGTCCCTTTAATTCTAATTAAACACGCCGTACTAATTTTCGAGTCGCCATCTGGTGGCGAAATAGTCATAACGTAAATATTTCATTCATACAAGTAAAACACGCTCTAAATCAAGCAACCTTCTATATTTAGACGGAGCGTAAAATAAAACCGAATAACATTCCGAAACGTTACTCTTCGTAATTAAGATTTATTTTTGGTGGTAATTTACGTAATTAAATTGTTTTTTACGATAAGAAAACAAGTTTCCTTAGGAGCGCCATCTGTTATCGGCTGGCATAACTATAATTCGAAAACAAAAATGAAAGCTGATGACAGAAAAGATGTCTTAAGGTCGTCAATGCGAAGGAGTGATGGCATTTGATTCTAGATATTGAAAAGAATAATTGATAAAAATCCAACCGACTCGTGTATAGAAAATGGCTCTGAAGATTCTAGTTGGAACGAGTAAGCACGTTTTTTGAAATTGACAAATTATTTTTGAATTAATTTAATTATAAAGTGTAATTGATTTATTGTGTGTAAGGTTTAATGATTTTTAAGTTTAATTGAGTTTATAAGCAATATTTAACTTTTTGATCTTGTTTATAAAGCAAACACTTGTTGCTTATGGATATTTTTATACCTAGAAGCTGCTTGAACATTGATAACAGAAGTGTAGAAGTCACTTAAGAAGAGGTTACTTTTAGTTAAATAGTCCATATAAGTATATATACAAAATTAACTAAAAGTAACTACTGCTATTTTCATTTGTTATTACATTTTATAAGGAAAATTATATTAAATTCTAATTAAAATTATTTTATTACTGGGTGATTTGCTCGTCATGATCATCTTTGGGATTCAGGAAGAAGAATTCTGCTTCCTGAATCCCAAAATAAAAGAACAAAATGAAGTTGAAGTCCTCTTGTGATGGACGGGGATCCTCCGGAATTAAACTTCAATTTGGAACATTTTTTTAAAATGATAAATCCTTCCTTCTTAAAGATTTAAATTAATTTTGTAATATTTATTAATTTAATTCAACATTATAGGGATTGTTTAGTCGTGATGAATTAACGGGATTGCCTATTAGATTTTTTTTAGAACTGAAATATGAGCATTGTACTTGCCAAACTAGATTATAGATGAGGCTAATTTGATAGCTAGGAAAAGCTGAGAAATAAAAAAACAATTTGTAGAAAGATCATAGATAAAACTTGTGACACTTTTAAGCTTCATCCTCCTGGGACAGATTACTGTAGTGAAAAAATAGAATATGGAATAATAGTACATTGTACCATTATATAATGAGTATTATATAAAAAGTTAATTATGTACAGAAAAAAATTACAAAAATTAATAATTCTTACATCTTACAGCATAGGGAATTGTGATTTTGGCATGTGATTTTATTTTACGAGAACTTTCAAATCAGTTTTCTGTACTGAAGAATGGAAGATCTCGTATCTATTCCATTTTAAGACAAAGTTTTCATGTGGTAATTTTTTAGAAAATCATTAATCTTTCATAATTTAATCAGAAGTTTAAAGGTTCCATTGAAATTCTCAACAATGAACTCAAAAATAGTATTAATGTTGGAGAGTGGACGATTTCTAAAAACACCGCCATTCAAGCAAACTTCAAATTTTTAGTATTAATCACAAATCATATTTGTGAAGACAATGCTTTAAAGGTGTTATCTCAAAAAGGCAGAGAGATTTTCTACTGACTACTACCAAAGGTGAATTCTCAGCCTGAAAGATGAAGGGTTGGCAACTATGGAATATGGGAAGTCATAATAATTATAAAAGAAAACTTACTATGAATCATATTTATCATAAAGATTAGTTAATTTACACTAAAAGAATAATTTTATTTTAATACAGTAGTTACATTATCAGAAACAGTGGCAGATTAAGATCTTCCAGGTCTCCTAGGTACAGAAGATTAGTGGTTCTTGTACTGTACATAATTTTACATCATAAAACTAATGGAATTAATTACAAATTAAGATATACAATTGCAATGATAAAATTGCTTTATTTTTTCCAATTTTGGAGCCCTAAGCATGTGCCTAAACAGGTAATCCGATACTGATTAGAATCGTAACATAAACTTTTTGCAAAATTCTACTGGTAATTAAGTCTTGTCAAATTGTACTGATCTATCACTCAAGTAATTTGGAGCAATGTTTTTAATAATTTAAGAATATATATCTTAATAGTTTATGCCATATTTATACAATAAATAATTTGTTTCAAATTTTAATCTCAATATATGTTAATTCAAAATTAGTTGTAAGGATCAATGTTACTTTTGATATGTTTGAACAGAATCATATCAAGAACTATTTATCACAAAATCTTAATTGATTTGACATTTTTAAGTTGATTTTTAGAATATTTTTTTTTAAAGTTGATCAAGAACTTTATTTGGCTTTATTTTCAATCATTGATGATATTAAATTGTTTATATTTTATGGATTAGTTGTTCTAAAATCAATATTACATTAAAAAATGGTATCAATGTCAGATACATCTGTCTGCATTAAATCCACATACTCTATATTGTATCTATTTCATTAATAATTGAAAAATTTACCAATCATCTTTCTTAAGATTTAATAATTTTTTTCCTTTTACATTTTCTACAAGATTTTTGATAATACTTGTCTTTAAAAAACTTAATGTTTGATTTTTTTTCAAGCAGTTTTCATTTTATTTAATTTAAAATTATTTAAGATAAAACTATTTAGAGGGAACTATTTAGTGGGGACTATTTAGATCAAAAATAGTTTAAAAAACCCATATTTATATGCTTTAAAAAGAAGAAAGAAACTAAAGCATTTAATGTACAAAAAGAAGCTTTCTTTATTAATCTTCACCTTTTAAGTCTTGTTTTTGACTAGTTATTTTAGATTAATGCAGAAACAAAATGAAAAAAATTGGATCTGAAGAGTTTGAGATTGTCTATACAAATTATCTATCATTTGTTATTAATCCTTAACCTCTTATCATGCTTATCAATATTAAATATTGATGATAAATAAATTAAATATCAAAATATTTGAAGTTTTTTTTGCTTGCTTTTTATTTTAAATCAAATTCACAAACATTGACACACAGTTGTTGGAATTTATGACTTAAAAAAGGATACCATTATGGTTTATAAAACCAATTCCAAAATATAAATATACACAATAAATTTTTTAATATTTTTCACAGTACTCTCAATTTTTAAATAACTTACTTCCTTATTAATAACTTACTTATAAATTATGATAAATTAAACATGTATAGAATTACATCCTGTTACAACTATAAATAATAGGTTTATTCTTTTGGTTTGAAAAACAAATATTTGTCCGATGTTTAAAGAAGTTATCACAAATATTCTGAATATATTGACATTTACTATCGCTTTTAGTCTAGGAAAATGTTAGTGAATTATTCTCTAGTATTTCATATTTTATGAGAATACCTGTAAATTTTAGTTCTGATTTCCCTTGGCGCTTCCTTATAAAAACAAAAAAAAAACTTCAAATGCAATAAATATTTCTAATGTATTTGTCAATATATTTTATTTATCATGCAATTGAGCTTTAAAATCCATAAATTTTTGAATATTTTGGTTTGTTTCCTTCTATCTTTACTGTCAAATGTTGGATTATTAATACATTTTTAATATAAAAGATAAAATAATTGGAAGTTTTATTCTCATCATTAAGAAAATCATTTATTTTAAAATATTTTATTCTAAAGAATAGAAAATCTTTTATAAATTCTAATTTAGTTAATTATTTAAAAAATCATTAGCGTAAAAAGAATTAACTATGAATCTGTAAAGTATCAAAGTTTTAAAATTTTAAAGATTAGATTTCTTTTTACGTAATTCTGTAAACTCATTACTTAATCAATAAAATATTTGAAAGGAACAATGTTTTTATTTATAACAACAATTAGGTATTTGATATAGCTTGAAACAGTAGCTCATTAGAAGAGATTTTAAGAGGGAGCCCAAATTAGAAGATGGAAAGGTACTGTACATTCACCTCTTGCCACTGTGAATGTAGACATTACTGTGTGGATGAAGAGTAAACTCTTATTGTGTATACATATGTATAAGTGGGTTTATCATGTTCAATTTTTTTTTTTACAAGGGAGTTCTCCCTTGTTATGCTACTGGTTTGAAAAATGTTACTGGTTACACCTAAGGCTATAATATATAGTTTAACTGATGGAAATTTATGTTGAATTTTGTAAGCAGCAATATTCAATGAATTTTAAGACGTTTTGCTGATTTATTATTAATAATGCTTGCAAAAATTTCGTAAATTTTTCTATCGTGTGATGTTATTTTTATGTATATGTTACCGTCCAAACCCGATTTCAGGCCAAACTAGTTTATCCTACGCATGTCAGGATATATTAGTTTAGCCTAGGACAGCGCTGTCCAACTTATCATAGCCTGCGGGGCATATTTTCTTCACCAAACATTTCGGGGGCCAAGAAGGTTGATAAATGAAAAGTCAGTTTATGTTAATTAAAAAATATTTTATTTATACTAAAAAGAAAACTTTAAAATAATCGTAATATATTAATGAGAACATTGTGGCCGTAATTTTCACATAGTAAAATAATTTTAATATTAATAATAATAATTTAGTAACATAAATTTATTCATAGTAAAATGTACTCGCGGGCCGTAAAAATTATTTGGCGGGCCGTATACGGCCCGCGGGCCGCCAGTTGGACAGCGCTGGTCTACACCACTGAAGATGGATACTTCCAACAGGACAATGCTCCATGCCATAAAGCTTAAATTGTTTAAAGATAGTTGAAGAGCATGATGTAGACATCACCTTGCTTAATTGGCCTCTACAATCACTGGATCTCAATCCAATTTAGCATCTGTGAGATTAGATCAAAAGAGGATATCAAGCAGCTAAATCTAGAACCATCCATTCTTCATGAACTGGAAAATGCAATTTATTGGGTATGGTGTCAGATTCTGCCAGTCATTTACCAACATCTTGTAGAGTCCATACCAAAGAGAATTGCAGCAGTATTGTAAGCAAAAGGTGGTCCAACAACATACTGAGTAGATGGTCATAATAAATTGGCTACTTGGTGTATAATGTGCATACACCATTAAACTTCAATTTAGCACCTTCATTTGCTTGCCACTGAAATTAATATAAAATGAAGTGTGGAGGTAAACTTAAGTATTTAAAAAAATTATATATAGTAATATTGTATAAACAAACGTTTTGAATTTTGAAGATTGAAAGCTACATGATTTAACATTAACAATGCCNTTATATATCTATTAAAACTTTCGTTTTCCGTTTTGTGTATACCAAAACAATTAAATAAATGAAAATTTGCATGTGTCATTGTTATAATGCGCAGGTGCGAGTACGAACTCTCGGTATAACAATGAAATCTTATTCATTTTGTATTTGT